AGGAAGGGTGCACTCAGTCTGTCCCAGACCTTCATGGGGGAAGGTCTGTCTCCAGAGATGGGAGACTAGCACCTGGGACAGCGCAGTGCTGGCCAGGCTCGGGGAGCAGAAGGGAACTCTAGCCCAGTATCTGCCAGACTGCAGGCCCTGAGGGGAAGGGCCTAGCCGGTGCGAGGGACCGTAGGGGAAGCAGCCCAGGGAAGTGGACAGCTGAGGGGAGAGAAGGAGAACAGCAAGGCTGCTGCCAGAGGGTCCCTGGGCCAGGACCCAGAGTAGAGGGCAGGCCTGGGTCTCCCCCCCGGCAGTACACCCAGCCATTGGCCATAGGGAGCGGCCATTATAGATTACGCCAGATCCCTTACAAGAGGGATTAGACTTTGGGGGGGTGTGGTTGGACATGGTGGCTGGGGCGTAGAGAGGGCAGTGGTCCGGAAAAGGACGCCACGAGCTGGAGAGCGACACGGGCTTAGGCGCCAACCAAGGGCGAGACAGCGAGCGGGACACCACCAGGAAAGGGCACTCCACTGGACTGAGCTAATTCCCAAGGACGACCAGCAGGAGGCACCAGGTGGTGAGTCCCAGCACTGTCACACTGACACTCACCTCCCGAAGCAAGTACTCTTCTCACAGTTAAGTCAGGGAAGAAGGGCTTGCAGAGGGCAACGGAAGAGATTCAAAGACATACTAAAAGTACATCTTAAAAAGGGAGGCATCAACCCAACAAACTGGGAGGACTTAGCAAGGAACAGAACATAGTTGCACCACACCATACACCCAGCCACAGCTCACTTTGAGAACAGATGTGCTCATGAGACAGAGAAGCGACAAAGGAGAAGAGAAAGGGCACAACACTCCAGCCAACAACTAACTGTGTCTTCTTCAAGATTACATCTGTCACTTCTGTGGGGAAATCTCCAAGGCACAAACTGGGCTTCTCAGCTACTTAAAATCCCACCACTGAACCCCCTTGGCAGACATTATCCTCACATTGAGGGATAGCCGAAGAGAGAGAAGTGTGTGTGATGGTGGTAAGGGAGACAGGGGAACAGGAACACACAGACATATAGAGAAAGGAAGTTTCACTTTGATCTTGTAGTTTGTTTTTCAGCCATAGCTTCCTTGGTAAATCCACTTCAAAACACTTGGCCCTATAGCAGGGGTGGCCAACCTGTGGCTCGGGAGCCACATGCAGCTCTTCAGAAGTTAATATGCGGCTCCTTGTATGGGCACCGACTCTGGGTCTGGAGCTACAGGCGCCAACTTTCCAATGGGCCAAGGGGTGCTCACTGCTCAATCCCTGGCTCTGCCACAGGCCTTGCCCCCACTCCACCCCTTCCCGCCCCCTCCCCTGAGCTTGCTGTGCCCTCACTCCCTCCCCCCCCCCCCCCCGCCGCCCACGACGAACTCCTCG